GCTTTCATTTATACCCGACCCACTGTCAGGATATCCCATTAGCCCCCTGATCACATGAGCTGGCCAATCTATTCATAAGGGCAGGGCCCAAACCGCCTTATAGATATCACACCTGTTTCCACTTTCTAGTACCTCAAAATCGGAATTGTATTTCAATAAGAATCTGAGAGGAAGAAGCTGTACTCGAACACAGCTTTCCACCCTACCCTGGCAGAACTCACGTCCTCATATTCAGACTATGATCATTCCACCTAAATAGTCCCAAAGTTGTAACTCATTCCAGCATTAATTCAAAAGTCCAAATCCCAAAATCTCGATCTGAGACTCATCACAAACTCATTCCAGCTGTAACCTGTAAGGTCAAACCAAACTATCAACTTCCATAAACAATGGAGGGACGGAAACCCGGCATGCACTCTATTCCCATGTGAAGAAACAGGCAAGTATAAAGGAGTAACTTGCCCAAAGCAAGTCCAAAGCCCAACAGGCCAGATGTCAAATCTGAAGCCCCAGGTCTAGGCCCCAGGTCTGTCATCCTGAGCACGGAGGGGGCGGGGCTGGTTCCCCAAGGTCTCAGGCAGCCCAGTCTCTGTGGCCTCCCTGGGCTCACTTCACAGGTCAGCTCTCTCAGTTTGGAGTCTCGGGACACCACCCTCCCAGGCTGGGGTTGCACCCTGGCTACTCTAGAGTTCTGGGATCCCAGGGCAGCCCTTGTCCCAGGATTCCTCTAGGTATGTGGCAGCTCTGCTCCTGAGGCAGGCCTCTGTGGGGTCTCCCGGGCTCTTCTTTGAAGTCTTCTGAAGCTGCCACGACCCCATAATTCTGCATTCTGCACACCTGAAGAACCAGCACATGCCATACCACCAAGGTCTGCCGCTTGCACCCTTCACAGCAGCAGCACGAGCTGCATCAGGGTGCAGTTGAGCCCTGGTGAGAGCAGCTGTAGAGCACTGTGCTGACCTGGGGGAGCAATGGCCCGAGGTGGCCCTGGTCAGGGAGCACACAAAGAACACTCCGGGCTATTTCCTAAAACCATCTGCCACCCTAGGCCCTTGGGCCTGTGAGGGACAGGTGGCCTTGCAGTTTCTCAAGATGCCCTCTGGCTTTCTTCCCACTGTCCTGAGTTCCTGGACCCCTTTTATTCATGATAATCTCTTTAGCAAGTGGTTGCTGAGCTGCACCCTTGGTTTTCTCTCCTGAACACTTTCTCCTTTTTTGCTCTTTACACAAATAAGCTGTGAATTTTCCAAATCTTTCCACTCTGCTTCCCTCTGCCCCTGAATTGCACTGGAAGTGGCCAAAACCAACAATGCAATAGCCTGAATGCTTTGCTGCCAAAGACCTTCACTCTTAAATCCAGCCTTCCAGAAAGCCCTAGCTCACAGACACAGTGCAGCCAAGTTCTTTGCTACTGTGTAAACAGGATGGTCTCTTCTCCAATTTCCAATAAAATATTACTCATTTCCACCTTAGACCTCATCAGATGGTCACTGCTATCCACATTTCTATCAGAATTCTGGTGGAACTACTTAGCCAATCTCTGAGTTCCAAAACTTTCTCTAACCTTTTTGTCTCCTTCTGAACCCTCAACAGAATCACCCTAAATGTTCCATTCATGGCAGTTAATTTCAAAACTATTACGGTTTCTACCCATTACCTAGATCCAAAGCTATTTCCACATTTTCAGGTATTCATTACTACCAACAGCCCTACTTCTTGGTACCAATGTTGTCTTATTCCTTTTTCTGTTACTATAACTGAATATCTGAGAGTGGGTAATTTATAAAAAAAAAAAAGAAATTTATTTCTTACAATTCTTTTTTTTTAATATTTATTTTTTAGTTGTAGTTGGACACAATACCTTTATTTTATTTATTTTTATGTGGTGCTGAGGACTGAACCAAGGGCCTTGCACATGCTAGGCGAATGCTCTACTGCTGAGCCACAACCCCAGCCCCTACTTCTTACAATTCTGAGGCTAGGAAGCCCAGGAACCACGGTGCCAGCATCTGGTTGGTGTCTGGTAAGGGCTTCTTGCAGGGGTATCACATGGCAGGCACAGCAAGCCTGCTAACTTGCTTATCTCTTCCTGTTCTTATGAAGCCACAAATGCAATTATGAGGATCCCACCCTCATGACTCTATCATAAGTACCCCCTGGAGCACCCAATTCCAAATACCATTAACATCCGTTAGGGATTAGGTTTTAACAGCATACTCAGAGAAGGCAAAGATAAGTGTGAACACTGGCATTTGTTCTAAACCCTCAAACACCAAATGCTGCATTAGAAGTTAACATGGCTTTGATTTAGCCAAGAATCAATTTGGAGGTTTTAGGAACTTGGAGACAGGTTAAGGATTAGTTTCCTCATCTAGAAAATAAGGGACTGGGCCAGTGCCTTGTAGAGTACAACCAAACCCTCAGAGTTTCTAGTTCATGGGTCAGGTAGGGCCAGAGAGTTTGCTGTTCTCAAAAGCTCCCAGGTGATGGTGAGGCCGAGGCCCACAGGCCACACTTACTGGTAATGAGGTATGTCCAGGCTGCTATAAAGGTACACCATAGGTTAGATGACTCACATACAAGAGAAATTCATTTTTCCCTGTCCTGGAGGCTGGGAAGTCCAAGGTCAAGGTGCTGGCAGACGTGGTGTCTGTGAACGCCCACTTCACTTCCTGGTTCATACACAGCTGTCTTCTAGCTACAGCTTCATATGGTGGCTTGTGGAAGGACACCATCCTGTTCCAGGGGAGTCTTCTCTTGTGACCTAACCAACTCCCAAAGGCCTCACTCACCTGCCTTCACACGGGGATTTTATTAGTCATAGTGGATAAGGCGAAGGATCTGGTGGCTGGAGTCCTGTGTTTGAGTCCCCTCAGGACCTTAACACAGCGTCTAACCTCTCTGAGCCTCTGTACCTTCATCTATATCCTGGAAACATCCAACCCCACAGGGAGATGTGTGTAAAAAGCACCTATAATCCATACCAAATTCAGTTGTTTTTCCTTCCTCCTGTGTGCAGCTACAGTGTTAGATATATCTGAATTTAGTAAATACATTTTCTGTTTGTCCACCACACTGGGAACCTCTGGAACACTAACCTCTGTTGAATTCAGTTCTCTCCTCAGCACCTAACCTACCGTCAAGCACATGATAGATGCTCAAAATGTGTGAACAATTGTCTTGGGTACAGTCATGCCACAGGTGTAGCGTCTGCAGACTGAACCATTGGCGTGGCACTCCCTGTTGTACTCAGTCTCTCTCCTTAGTCTAGAGAAACTGCCACCACCTCCTGACTGACATTCCACCTTAACTTGCCCAACCCCACTTCTAGCTGTAAAAATATAGTCGAAAACTCTTCTTGGTGATCCGAATAGCCAATGAAAATACTCATTTCTAAAATCAAATTCTGCACCTCCCCACTCTCCAGCTAGGACACTGGGTAATTTCTGCAATCTCACTGATCTTCGTTTTCCTGATCTGGAAATTGGGCAGAACAGTACCTAGTCTTCAGTTTTGATATGAAATTTACATGAGAAAAATATATGCAGAATGCCAGGCATTAAAACGCAATGCCTGGTCTCCAGAACTTACTGCTCTTGGGGACTCCAGTTGGTAAAGGCTCTCCTAACTCTTCTGGGTAACTCTCCACTCTGCAACAAAACGCAATGTTAGAGTGAGATTGTATCTAGTAATTCCTTTAGCAAACATCTACTGAGCACTTGCCAAGTGCCAGGCTCTGTGCTAGACGCTCATAAAAATTAGAGAAGACCTCTAACCTCGGTAAGTTTACAGTCTAGTAAAGCCAACTTCCTGAGGAAGCCTTTGTCACTGGCTTCGCTTCTTGGCTGGCAACTAGAAGCCCCTAGTCTGGCGATAGGAACTTTGGTGACTCCCTGCAAACCTTGAACTTCCATGCATTGCCCCCCACCACATACACACACTGGGGATGGAACCAGGGTCTCATACATGCAGGCAAGCACTCTACCACTGACGACAGCCACCATCCATGTTTTATTTATTTTGAACCAGAGTCTCACTAACTTGCCCAAGTCGGCCTCAAGACTTGTAATCCTCCTGCCCAGCTTCCCCTGTAGCTGGGATTGCAGTGCAGATGTGGGCCACTGGAACCTGCTGTATTACCTTTTTATTCAAAAGTGCTAGTCCCTGTTTAAGTGATTTACTTATTCAGTCATTTAATCTTTGCCACCTTGAGGTAAGTACTGTCATTATTCCAATTTACAGATGAGAAAACTGAGACAGAGATTAATAACTGGTTTAGTCTTCTAATTTTAAGTAGAGGGAGCCAGAAGACAGTTTACGAATTCAGCTTAAAATACTCTGTTTATTCGAATAAGCATCTCCCGAGTCTAACCCAATACCTGACACATGCGCTATCAATAATTGCTTCTTCAAATAAAAAGGAGCGAAGGGAGCACTGAATCCCAGGACGGTGGGTTACCAACATTCACCGACCGTCCGCGCCAGTCAGCTCAGGAGACGTGTGAATGTCATCAGGAATCAGATGACCTTCCTGAACGCTCCGAACCCGCGTACTGACATCAAGAATTGCGGAGAGATTGCGCTCTTCCCCGCCGCCTCCTTTCTCTCGCCCGCTCCTGGTCCCGGAATCCCCGCTCCACCTCTTCTATTTCCCTCGCCATCCTCTTCGCGGATTCCGCTCTCCGGGTTTCCCGGCTGCCGGCGCGCGGCGCGGACCAGTGCGTGGGAGCGCCCGGAGAGCGGCGGGCATGCGCAGACGGGGCGGCGCACTGCGCATGCGGGAAGATGGCGGGCCCGGCGTCCTGACCGCGGCGGGTCACCCTCGTCCCCTCGCGGCGGCGGCGGCGGGAGCTCACGGGCTCGTGGGGCCGCGGCGGGCGGGGCGGCCGAGCCAGGCGGCGCCCTCCAGGAGGCCGCGAGCCTGCTCCGTGCCCGGCATTGGGAAGCCGGCGCGTCGGGGGTGCCGCTCGATCCCGCCGCAGAAGGCGGGAGAGCTCGCAGGCGCGAGGGGCGCGGGGCGCCCGCTCGGCAGCATGAGTCAGCAGCGACCGGCGAGGAGACTGCCGAGCCTTCTCGTGGACCCGGCGGAGGAGACGGTGCGCCGCCGCTGCCGCGACCCCATCAACGTGGAGAGCCTGCTGGTAAGCGCGGCCGGCGACCCCTGGCCGGCCCCGGCCTTCGGCCCTCGGCCCGGGCGCCGTCACGTGACGCGCGGCTTCCCGCCTGCTCCCCGCACCTGCGCGCGACGCCCGGGCTGCCGCGGGGCTGCGCGTCGGGGAGACGGCGCCGCCTGGGTCGGCCCGGCCCGGCTGCAGCCAGACGTCTGTTCTCTGCTCCCGCTCATTTTCCCACTGGACCGCAGCCATCCTGAACCTTGCCCGAGGCTCTCGTTCGCCACCCCGCGGTTTCCCTTCGCGTACGTGATCTGTCCACTTTGACGGAGAAATGACAGCAAGACCGAGTCGTGTTCTTGCTCTAGACCGATGCCCTGTGCTTCGCGGTTGTCGGAGCCCCTTGATGAATCTATCCTTTCCCGTTTCTTTCCATATTTTCAACTAATTGGCTGGGTTCTCCCCAGAATTGGCAATAACTAAACATTTACCAAAGTCATCGTGCGCAACCCCCGTGCCAAATAATGGGTGAGCATCATCTCAGTTCCGCACAAGAGCCCTAAGAGGCTAAGGTTACTCCTGTTTTACAGTTGTCGGAACAGACTTGAAGATGTTAGATGACTTGCCTGTGTTTAGACAGTAAGTGGAGAAAACTTTCTGAACCTCAGAATGCCTGACTCGAGATAATAAATCCTTGACGACTTAAACTACGCCCTAAATCCATCTCTTTCCTTGACTCCCTGCCTCCTCCCATTTACAGTATCGCTTCCCCTTCTCAGACTTCTGGAAAAAGTTGTTTGTGTCCACTTGTTCACCTCTCATTGCCACCATCCCACTTCTGGGGAATTCTGCCCTAAGCAGAAGTCAGGCTGGCCTAAGCAGGTTCTCCAGCAGCAGTTCAATTCTGGTGGCTCATTTTCACTCCTGGCTTTCTGTAGTTTGACCTGATTGGCCACTCTGAAACTCCTTTGATACCACTTGCTGTGTGCTCCACCTGCTTATCTGAACTCTTGTCCTGTCCGCCTCCTCCCCTTCTGTCCTGTTGCTGTTGTTCAGGATTACTTTTCTACATAACCCCTCACTTTCTTCATGTGGGAGATCATTCATTACTCCTGTGATGTCTGATACCATCTGTATTGGTAGTCTTAATCTTTGAAAATTTGGTAAAAGCTCTAAATTCTCACTCTGGGTAAACCACTTAACTTTGCATGTAGAAGATACACACATCCCTTGAAGTCTTATTCACTCTGGTCCTTTCAGTCACATCATAACAACTCTCAAATCTGTAAACCCAGCTCAAAGCTTTCCTGCTGTCTTCTAGGCATTCCTATGTAAACTTCTATGTCTTAAACGGAATTCATTATCTTCTTGCCAAAGCAAGCTGCAACTTCCACGTCCTATTTTAGTAAATGGTGTCACCCCACCACATTGCCCAAGCTAGTGTTCTAGGTATCATCTTTGCCTTTTTCCTTATCTAAACTGACCCCCCAGTCGAAGTAATTAATCATCAGTACATCTCTGTCATTGTCCATCTTTCAGACTATTGCAGTGTCTTCCTGACCAGCCATTTTCCTGCTTCCATTCTTGCTCTCACTTTCCAGGGTGTGCTCCACGTATAACTAATGATCTTTTTAAAAAGTCTGTTTTTGATCTTGGCTTTTGGCTAAAGGACTCTGTTGTGGTTCCCTAGTGCTCTCAGGATAGAGTAGAAACTTCTTAACAAGCTCACCCTGGGTTTATCTTTTCTTAACTGTTTATAGTTGCTAAGTTTTCCATATTCTTTTGCTCCCCTGGTCATCACATTTGCTTTCTTCTGGTCCAGGTCGAACTGCCTACATACGTGTAGGCCATACAGCCTATTCTGCCTTTCAAAACAAAACTTTTTTAAACACGCATTTTCCTGTGTGTGTAAAAAGTGCTATGGTGTTTCAGGTATAGATTTATAAGTTACTTGTCTGAAGAATCTTCCCTGAACTCAGGACGGATAGACACTCATTTGTGTTCCCATAGCACTCTGTGCTTATTTGCTCCAGCCTTTGCAGATTCCTGAGTGTAGTGACTGTCTTTTTTATTGTTGTACATTGTTTGTTGCCTGTGTAAAAAGATTCTGCAGACAGTTTCTGAACAAAGTAGGTACTTTAAAGCTGTTCAAAAATGAGTTGTGTATCTTGTTGAGTGTTGCCTAGATAAGCAGCTTGAAAATTGTCTGGAATTTTGAGCAGAGAGAAACTAGTATTGATTAGAGATGAAGTTAGCTTGCATTATTGAAAAATAAGGAAAATCTGAATGGGTGAGGAGAATAGAGTCACCTCAGAGAAAGGTATGTTTCCAAAGAGCTCTTGTAGAAGTATTGCTCACCAAACAGGGAGTTGGTACAGAGAGGCATCTATACAGAAATTTTTGATCAAGTTGGAGGCAGTGCTTAGAATGTTAGTCCCTAAAATTTACCTTTTTTTTTTTTTCTCTCCCACCTTTAAAGATATTTATAAGGTCATTTCAAACTGCAGCCACAAATAATAGGGACAAGGTTGGCATGCTCTCCTTTGAGGTCTCAAATTTGGAAGTGTAGATCCGTACATGGGGGATTTGAAGCAGTAGTGAAATAACTTGGAACTTGTCAAAGTATGCCGATTTGCCTGTCAGGAGCTGTAGGTTCCTAGGGAAGTGTGTGCTGTTGAGGCTGTCCTTTGTGATGTCCAGTTGAAGGCTTCTGCTTTCTCTGGATGTGTTGCAACTAAGATACAGACAGACTGTCTATAAAGGATATCTAGTTCTGGGGTGGACAGAGTTGGGATTCTGCCAAAACAAAGAGTGTTTTTATATTCAAGGGGGGGGGGCGGTGAATGAACATGCTTAGAACGTGTTTCCCTGCATTGTAACTGGTATGTAATGGAACTGCATTTACAGAATGTGGGGAAAGGAAAGCCTTTTTTCTTATCTTGTTATACCTAATTGGGGGTATTATCCCTGTCCCAGGCTGTGAACAAGAGGAGACAATGGATGAAGGGTAAAGAGCAGAAAAGATTCCCTTCTAGAATATGGGGAGAGCAGACAATAGGCAGTCTGTTTGGAAACCAGTGTATGCAGGGCTTGGCATACACTCTGCTTTAAGAACAGAACCTCTGCTGGGAATGGTGGCACAAGACTGTAATCCCAGCGAGTCAGGAGGCTGAGGCAGGAGGATCAAAGCCAGCCTCAGCGACTTGGCAAGGCTCCAAGAAACTTAATGAAACTGTCTCAAAACTACGAAGGGGCTGAGAATGTAGCTAAGTGGGTAAGCACCCTTGGATTCAATCCCTGCTACCAAAAAAAAAACCCCAAAACCAGAACCTATGCAACAAAGCACCAGTGAGCGCATGTGTAACAGTTTATGATGTTTGTTTACATGAGTTTCACATCATTGTGGTAAGGATGGGTTTTTTCATTCAAGAATCTTGTTCTAATAGCTAGCCCTTATCTCATACTCTGTGAGGAGAGGGGTTAAATGTAAAAACGGCATTGACAGTTTGTCATACTTGTCTGTTGTTTGACTATCCTTGGGCTGCTCCAGTGTTCTGCTGTTGTATGCTGTGTTTGCAAGTCACTGTCATTAGCGCTGCTGAAGAGAGGTTGGCAGACATAGTCCCTGCCCCCAGGACAGGCATTCCCAGCAGCAGTGATCATGCCCCTGCAGGCCTAGTGCTCCTGTCAGATCTAAACTAGTTTTACTGTGGAACTCTTATCTAAACAGAATTCCTCTCTATTAAGGTCACTTGCTCCCTGATGTTATTGTCTGGTTGTAAATGATAAGGAAATCATCATGCCAAAGATTTGCAGCACTGATGTAGACAGCTTCTTAGCTGCTCACCTGTTTTAGTCAGTTTTTTTTCATCACTGTGACCAAAAGATAGACAAAAGTAATTGGGAAAGGAAAAATTTATTTTGGGCTCTAGGTCTCAGTCCATAGACGCCCAACTTCATTGCTCTGGGCTGGCTGAAGGTGAGGCAGAGAACATGATGATGGAAGAGTGTGGTAGAGGAAAGTGGCTAAGAACATCACCCCGGGAAGCAGGGAGAGCTCTGCTCAACAAGGACAAAACAAACTCCAGAGACCCACACCCTACCTGCCTATAGTTACCACCCAGTTAATCCCTATCCGGGGATTAATGCACTATTACGTTACATCTCAACCCAGTCATTCACCTCTAACCTTCTTGCATTGTCTCACACAAGAGCTTTGGGGAATTACCTCATATCTAAACCATAACATTACCTGACCTCAGGCCTCCCCAACCCCAGTCCTTTTGCCATATTTCTATCCTACTTGTATCATGTTTTTAAACTGTGAATTTGATTATATCACAGTCTTGTTCATAAATCTTTGGTGATTCTCCACTGCATGTGACATGAGTCCAGGCTCCTTAGCATGATCTTTATATGGTGCTTGTCAGCTTCAAAACCAAGTCACTTTCACATGGTCACACAGGTGGGTTCTTAAAAAGCACTATGCAGTTTATATTCTCACATCTTTATTTGATTTCCTGTACTAGGGATCCTATTTTTTTCCCCTCCCATAGTTTATTATTGAGGCAAAATCTGGCTTACCCATCAAAATTCAGGGGCAGGCCACTTTCCCTGTGAACTCTTCTTTGACTTCTCTGACTGGGTGCATTTACAGTACTCCTGTTGATTCTCTCCTTAGAGCACCTGTGGGAATCACTACGTTAGTTGTGCTTTATAGAACAATTTTTTCACTAAGACAAGAACTGATGATAGCCTGTCTGGAAACACAACATCTTGATAATGCTTTCCAAGACAAGGCCGTTGTGGGTTTCTATTCACATGGTTTTATTGTAAGATTTTATTTTATTTGGGGGGGGGCAGTTTCTAAATGTGTTGCAGCTGTATATGCAAACTTTGATAATCTCTAAGCAACTGGCAAATGGTGAGAGCCTTGATAAGGTGCTACCAATTTCCTAGTTGTTTCAGGAATTGAAAAGAAAATTTTATTTCTGTGATACCAAGGTTCCTAGTGTGCATTTTTTTCCATTATCAGAAGTGCTGCCACTCTTAGGTTAATTATAATGGTAATGCATGGCTGACTCTTCAGAATTTGTGATCAAATTTTTTTGGAACCATCCACTTAAATAGCAGGGGGTGAGCATTTGTGGTTGAGACTATCTTCTACCTCTGCTGAGCTTTCCAGAGTCGCCGACAGTCTTAATGATCATTGTATTCTTTTTAATCCTTATACTGCAGTCAATACATTAGCATGTATTCAGTAATAAATTCTTATGTACATATTTCCATCCTCTCCCTTCCTTTCTTTCCTACTTCCATAGGGAGCTCATGCAGTCTGAGAAACCTAAATCTGTGAACATTGTCAGTCATGATTACAAGTAGAATAGCTATATTTTGGACATACTAGTTTTCTCACACCCAAATTAATTACCTCAAGGTGAGAGTGGGGAGGCTTTGTATTATGCAGTAAAATGCTGTTTTTAAATTGCTAAATTAAATTTTTATATCTTCTTTTTTTCAGCCATCGAAAATAAGGATTAATTTAGAAGATAATGTACAATATGTGTCCATGAGAAGTAAGTTGATTCCTGAATAGATTTTACATTCTGTAGTTGAATTTAATATAGTAAAAATGATTTATTTTAAATGTACATGAGGCTGTGAGAACCAAAATAATAAACAAAATGTACTATTGGAACACTGAAATGTGATTTTGAAATTTTAGTAAAATGTCCTGAAAGTTGTGAGCTGAATGATGTGCATAAAGGCCAGTTCATTTCCCATTGCTTTAGACATGTCATTTTAAAAGAACAGTCAAAAATAATACACATAACTCACAGGTGGGATCTGAACCCATCAGACTTATGGAGATGGTAGAATGGTGTTTACCCAGAGCTGAGGAAGGTATGAGGTTGATGGGAAGGAGACACCTTGATTGATGGTTCAGTTAGAGGAGAGCAATGGTTTCTAGTGTTCGCTTGCACACAGGGTGACTATAGTTAATGTGTGTTTCAAAATGGCTGAAAGACAGAATTTAAAATGGTCTTATCACAAAGAAATGATAAATATTTGAGGTGATGGAGATGCTAATTAGCCTGATTTGAGTGTTCAGCAGTTTGTACATGTATCAAAATATCACCTTGTATCTCATCAATAGATACAATAACTGTTTATTGATTTAAAATAAATTGAGTGTGGTGGCACCTACCCTTAATCCATCTACTCAGGAGGTTGAGGCAGAAAGATCGCAATTTCAAAGCCACACCAGGGCAATTTTACTGAGACCCTGTCTCAAATAAAATTTAAAAACTGGGGATATAGCTTAGTGGTAGAGTACTTGCTTAGTATGTCTGAGGCCCTGGGTTCAGTCACCAGGACTGCAGAAAATGAACTGAAAAATCTACATTTGAGGATATTTTCCTCAGATTCCTCTGTGAGGTATATTATTTATCCCCTAAAAAACTTAAGACATTTAGCAGTACACATGAAGACAGTCTCTTGCTTGGAATTCCATTGACTCTTTCCGGCTAAACCTCTGCATATTTTTGGGGGTATCAAGTGCCCTAGTTCCCTATTGTTTGGGACATCTTTGTGATAAATTGTCCCACCCCTGATTTCCTCTTAATTTGATCCCTAATGGGGTCTTAGAGCATAGATGCCCAAATATAAGTCTTATAACTATATCCATCCTAATTTTCTTTAACCCCTGCTGCAGTATTCATGTCTCTGGATTTAGTCAGCTTTACCTTTGAGGTGTTTTTCGTCTGTTTCATATCACTATCTTAAAATGCCATCTCACATTTATTGACCTCATATAACACCTGGTATTATATTAAGCTTTTCACATGAATTATCACAACACTTCAAAATATAGGTATCAACTATTATTTGTTTATTTTGGTACTGGGGATTGAGCCAGAGTCACTTTACCACTGAGCAAAATTCCTTGCTCTTTATTTTCCATTTTGAGACTAAGTTGCTTAGAATCTCCCTAAGTTGCTGAGGTTGACCTTGAATTTGTGATCCTCCTGCCTCAGCCTTCTGAGTTGCTGGGATTATAGGCATGCACCACTGTGCCTGGCTATAGTCCATATTTTGTAAAGTGAATAAATGGAGGTCCAGAAAGATTGCTGAAAGTCAAGATTCAGTTCCACACTTGTGGCTTAAGAGCCTTATTCAGCCCACCCCTTCCCTCTGCAACCAGTATGATTTTTCTAATGCAGAAATGGGATTATGATATCTTTCAGTCTGAGTTCTTCAGTGGTGCTGTACGACCTGTAGAGAAACCCTAACTCCTCACATATTTGATTTTATTTATTTGTATCACATCTATAGGACACCTGCTGTCTTTCAAAATGACAAGGTAGTAGAGAAAGGGGTTGATAAAAAGACAAGGTCTTCAAGTTGCCCCTTGCTTAAGGCTGCAGCCTCATCCCCAGTACCCTGCTGACCTCATCTATCCCTGGGGCTGCACCGCTTGCAAGTTCCATGACTGCTCCTTGTTTGCCAGTGCTGCTTTGTCCTTAGACCTGGTGTTTTCTCTGCCTCCCTCAACAGTAGGGACATCTCCTCATCTTTCTGTGCTGTTCCCAGCATGCTCCTATCAGGTGTCTCCAGTTCCTACTCCAGTAAAGGTTGTATTTCATGTTCTCAAATGACTTTGCACACCTGTCTGAGCACTTAGCTCAAGGTTATAATAGACCTCCTTGTTAGACTCTGAGATGCCCTGAAGATCTTTTTATTCACATTTATATCCCTTTTGGCAACTTTCATGGTGTAGGTATTGAGTTAGATATGTTCTTTATTATGTGGTTAATATCCTAGGAATGTACTTATCCTGGATTTATGAGACTCAAATTTTATTAATAGTGTAATTAAATATATGGTTTTTAAAGTTAGAATTTCTCATTTATAATCTAAGATTTGTCATGAAATTGTTCCTTTTGTCTACTTTCAGTTTAAAAAACTGTTAAATTCCTGATTTATTCCTGTTTAATCTTAAGTCTAGGAATTGAGTGTCATAGGGAAAATGTTAATATTATAAAATATGTGCTTTTGTTCTTAGAACAACTACCAGTGATCTTGTAAAAATGGAGCAAGACTCTGGAGTGGTTCTGAGAAAGAGTTCTGCTGGTTGTGGGGAGGTTGGGTAGCTCTTTTTATTTTTTTAGTTTGAGACACGGTCTTGCTAAGTTGATGAGGCTAGCTTTGAACTTGTGATCCTCTTGCCTCTGCCTACAAAGCTGCTGGGATTATAGGCATGTGCTACTGCACCTGGCATGAGAACTTTTTTGTAGTATCAAATTAGAAAAGATGGATGATAATATTCAGGCACATGAGATAAAGCCCTGATACGCTACATAATGATACAGCCTACAAGCTGTAGAGCAGTTTAGTAGCACAAATCAAAATTCCTTAAAAAAAAATTCCTTAACTCAGCAGTTCTACATCTTGGAATTTGTCTACAGGAAAGAATTAAGGGTATATACAATAATTTTTATAACAAGGCGGTCCATTGGAGTAAGCCAGATAGTAAAGTTGGAGATGGTCTGAGTTGCCAGTGTGAGGATCCCCTCAGCAGTTACTTCATGTGGTCAAATATGCAGCTGTTAGGAATAGTGGATACACTTGTCAGAATGTGCACAGCATTAAAAGGGCATGTTATGCAATGGTGCCTTGCTGTTTCTGCTTGTAAAAACTATATCTCCATATTGACATGCAAATATGTTGAGGCTTGTTGCATGAAGTCCACAAATTGTCACAGTAGATGAGTAAAATTAAAGAGATTTGTTTCCTTTCATGTGTTTATTAATATAGAGTAATAAATATTTTTTAAGAGAGAGAGAATTTTTTTAATATTTTTTAGGTTTCGGTGGACACACATCTCTGTTTTATTTTTATGTGGTGCTGAGGATCCAACCCAGCACCCCGCGCATGCCAGGCGAACACGTTACCGCTTGAACCACATCCCCAGCCCAGTAATGAATATTTTAAAAAACAAATGTTTTTTTAAAAATGTATCATAATTGTCCTAATAGAAAACTAGTTGGGACTTTCAAATACTTCATCAGACATGGTTATCCTATGGCATGAATAGAAACATCAAAACATAGTAATAATAAAAGCCAGGTCTTTGCCTTTGTTCTCTAAAGTATACTTAAAGACCAAAAGAGAAAATTAATTTTCAACATCAATTTTAATCCTGTTTCAAAAATGTTTGGACTTCTAAAAATAAATATATTCAAGGGAAACTGGTTGCATATCTCAAATACTCCTTTATGGAAACCAAAAGCCTTTGTTGAGAACTAGGATAGACTTATGAATTTTTTGTCCAACTCAAGAAATTGACTTCATAGAAATTAGCTATGATTTGGTCAGTGTGTATAAATTTCTATGATTTGGTCAGTGTGTATAAATTTCTATGTCTGCTTTCTTTTTTTTTAAGTATTTATTTTTTAATTGTAGTTGGACACAATACCTTTATTTATGTGGTGCTGAGGATCGAACCCAGGGCGCACGCATGCTAGGCGAGTGCTCTACCGCTGAGCCACAACCCCGGCCCCCTAAGGGTCTGCTTTCTGATAAGGAGGAAATGAATGTTTAAATGATTTGAGAAATGTTACTTGAAATTTTATGAATGTGTTTGTTTCCCAGAAGCTCTAAAAGTGAAGAGACCTCGTTTTGATGTATCACTAGTTTACTTAACTAGAAAATTTATGGATCTCGTCAGATCTGCCCCTGGGGGCATTCTCGACTTAAACAAGGTTGCAACAAAACTGGGAGTGCGAAAACGAAGGGTCTATGACATTACCAATGTCTTAGACGGAATTGACCTCGTTGAGAAAAAATCTAAGAACCATATTCGATGGATGTGAGTTGGTCAAAAATGTTTCGTTGCCTTTTCCCCCACTCCTTGTTAAGTAATGATCCCGTACTTGACCCAAGTGAGGTATTAGCAGTGGTTGGTGATATAAACAAAGTAGCATGATTCTTGGTTTTCAAGATCATAAGATGGGTTATGTAGGTTTTTTTTTTTTTTTCCTGCTGTTTTTAAGTATTTCCTTAGTTCTGCTGATGTCAGGGGGAAATGTAATCTGTTAAGGTTGAAAACTGATTGTCACAAAGCAGTCTGATAGACACCTACAGGCTTCCCAGGAGTTGTCATTTAGTAGTGTTGGGGGAGGGGCAGGAATCAGATTCTTAGTACCCCAGATAATTAGGATGCAAATCAACTGTGAATCAATATTCCATAATACATTGGCCTGAATGTAAAAAGAAAGAAATTGGAATTAATGTCGAAAAGATAATTGCTATAGACTAGACATGATTTAAGAAGATCCCATGGAGAGTCTGACCTTGGGATTAAGGCATACATGAGGCATGTGTATGTGTATGCACATGTGCATAAGAAAAAAACGTTAAACTAGGGCAGGTATTTTGGATCAAGACGAAAGGGTTCTAGCCTGTAAATTATAAATACCTTTCAGGCAAATGAAAAATGCAAAGACCATAAAATGACTCTTAAGTAATTAAATGTTAGAAGAGGTTATTTTTCAATAAAAATACAGATTGAATTCTAATGTGAATGTGTTTGCTTCAGAGGTTCATGTCAGACTATATTCTGAACCACTGATTAGAATTAGATTTGAACAACTAGCAAGCAGAGGATAAAGGTGACAGCCTTTTCCCCTATTTTTGTTCCTTATCATGAAGATTAATGGGGGAGAAAGTGCATATCAAATGTTGTTCAGCTATACCATACTGTAGTAACCACTAGTAATAAAAGATCTCTTAAGAATAATGAATATATTCAGGTAGAACATGCATACTAGGAAAAATATAGACCCATAGAATTTTAGTAGAGAAACTATCATGTAGCCGATACTCCTTGTTTTTCACGTGTGCAGTTGCAATTATATGTTATTAATGGTGGCTTTTTTTCTTCTTCTTCCCTTTTAAGAGGATCTGATCTTAACAATTTGGGAGCAGTACCCCAACAAAAGAAGCTGCAAGAGGAACTTTCAGACTTATCAGCAATGGAAGATGCTTTGGATGAGTTAATTAAGGATTGTGCTCAACAGTTATTTGAGTTAACAGATGATAAAGAAAATGAAAGATATCCTTTAAGTATATGTCTTTTTAAAATTTCTGCTTCCAGAAGAGATTAAGTGGTAGAGTCATTTGGGGGGTTTAGGTGTTGAATTAGACTTCTAAAAGTTAATACCAAGCAGAGCAGAGCACCCCTGTAACCTCAGCTACTTAGGATGTTGAGGCATGAGGATCGTGAGTTTGAGACCAGCCTGGCAACAGTTACTGAACATAGTGAAACTCATCTCCCAAAAAAAAAAAGTTTTAGTATAATTTGGTGGTATCACCTCAATTTTACACAAGCAATAAATACATTTGTTGCTTTGGGCATCTTTGTATGGTGTTTCTTAGGTTAAATTCTGCATGGTATATACAGGGACAAATCCAGGTTGAAATTTCCACTTAAAATAACAAGTTCATTCTTATTTTTGTGGACTCTATACTACATAGTAAAATATTTGTTACTTTTCACGAAAATCCTGTTTCCCTAATTTGTGAAGTAAAGTTTATTCTGGAACAAAAGGAATTTCCATTCCCATCCACACTAGCCTGCTGCTGCTGGATATCTGCCCTCCTCTGAAGCTCAATATTGGGACTGAGGAGAGGCTTGGTTTTGGTGCTGACCTTCTCTGGGTCCCCTGGACCTTCATGCCTGTTACCTTGGGGTGCCTTTTGTGGGGGTGTCACTGACTCTGACTTGCCCTATGCTTCCAGCTTGCTTAACACTTCCCTTGGCAGGCACAGCTTCTATTCCCATGGTACCGTTACTAGGAGGAAGACAAAGCATGCTCACATCACTGCAGCCAGCCACAAAGTGCACAGGAAGGAAGGATGCTGGGGTAACCAAAAATATTTCTTAAGTAGTAAAAATTTTTACATTTTATAGATTATATTTCTTTCATGTTAGGGGATTCTTCTCCAGATCCAGAATGTTTTTTTCCCAAAGTTCCCATAGTAAGAGCTAGCACTGAATGGGGAACGGGTGTGAATTTGAATATAGTAGTCTTCCCGTATTCGTGGTCTTGCTTTCTGTGGTTTCAGTTACCTACAGTCAACTGTGGTCCATATATGTTAAATGGAAAATTCCAGAAATAATTCATATGTTTTAAACTACTTCTATGACAGTGTATTGTTTTAATTATTTTATTATTATTAATCTACCTGCTATAAAAAAAACTTCATCATAGGTATATATGTATTAAAAAAGTATAGTATATTTAGGGTACTATACTGTCTGTGGTTTTAGACACCCACTAGGGTCTCAGAATATATCCCCTTCCTATAAAGGAGAATCTCTGCACCTTTGCGAATTGTGTTTATGTTACAAACTCAGACTTAATTAATATTCTTCTCTAGAAGTTGTCATCATGACATTTCAAAGTATGAAATAATTTTTTCCTGCTTGCCTTAGATGTCAGTTTGCATCTCATAAGAACTAAAGATGTTTTAACACTTTCTTTCATTTATTATAAGAGCTAAATTATCTACCCAGTATACAGCACTCTGCTTAGAGATCCTTGACTGATTTTTACACTAGCGTATGTAACGTATCAAGATATTCATAGCATTCAAGCCTTCCACGAACAGATTGTTATTGCAGTTAAAGCTCCAGAAGAAACCAGATTGGATGTTCCAGCTCCCAAAGAAGTAGGTAGCCCTTCCTTTTACCAAATATTTAAGGAGAGAGGTGGGATAACTGCTAGGCCTGTGATTTATTATAGTCACAATAACTTACTGTGCATTATGTATTGTTAGCTCTATATCCAGTACTATTCAAGCCACTTCAGACATTTTAACTTGTTTTGACTAACACACTGATAAAGTAGTTGTTGTGACTTAAAAATGAGCCACAGCAGGGGCTGGGGTTGTGGCTCAGCGGTAGAGCGCTCACCTAGCATGGGCGAGGCCCTGGGTTTGATCCTCAGCACCACATAAAAATAAATAAGTAAAATAAAGGTATTGTGTTCGACTATAACTAAAAAATTAATTTTTTTTGTAAATGAACCAGAGCACAAAAAAGTGAATTCAGTCTGAAGATAACCCAGTAAATGACAGAACTAGATTAAAATACAAGAAGTTTGGCTTCATAGTTCATTCTTAACTATGGTGCCATAATGCTGTTGGACGAGCCACCAAGAATTGGCCTTAGTCTTGGTGTTCCAAAAGTGAGATTGGGTCACAGCCAAGGCTTCAGGGAATTAACTTACTAACAAAACTCATACAAGACTAATTATGAACAAACTAGAAAACTAAGTTATAAATTTAAAATCTCATTATAAATAGAAATATCAGCCACCAGCTGCTTAGCTCATTCTTTCCCTTTCAGGAAAGTTTATACTAAAAGATAATTGTCATCAGAAGGCTGCTTGGTAAGGATGGAGTCAGAAACAAAGAAGATGGTCATTCTTGGAACAGACCATCAAGTCCAGACAGCCTGATAGACCGGTGCACGTGCACGTAGCAAATCCTCATCGTTGCTATAGCAAGGAATATTCGCATTGTCCTCTTTTCCTTTTATCCCCAGCAGTACCCTGTCCAAGTGGGACCACATGTTACCTGACAGTGTATTCTAAATTCATTAGCCAGCAGCTTGATTTTGTTAGTCACAGCCAGATTATGACTTGTTGGTGAGGTTTTCTAGTTTTATTTGGATTTAGATATATGCCAAGTATCCAGGTATCGTTTATATTCAGTATCAATTGTTTCACAGATGTTGAAACTTTTTTTTCCTTAAATAAATAACCAGTAATCCTTTGGTATATCTTACCTTGGGGCATGATAATCCATTCTGCTAGAAGTGATATAGTTGGATTTTTACCCAAGGTCTGAATTGCTTCAGACTGTAATTGCTAAGCCTTTTAATCATACCCCAACTTTCTCTGAAGACCCGTGTAGAAGTCTGCTCATGGGCCTTCTTGTGGGCCATGCTCAGTCGATGAGAGCCTGCTGGTTTCAGTGTAGTCTTAAATCCACAAAGATCTGGGGTGGGGTGGGGTGGGGTTCTATGGAATTGGGTCTTATAAATAATTTTCTCAGGACATAGTCACTTGGCCATTTGTTTAGATATTGCTTCTAGATGCTTTTACACTACAATGGCAGAGTTGAGTAGTTGTTAAAGGAACAGTGTGGCCTACAAAGCCAGAATCATTTACTGTGTCTCACCTTCTGTAAAAGAAATTTGCTAGCCCCCAATTTAATGAGTGATTCCTCAGCTGGCTGCCAGTTCAGAGTAATATCTTGAGTTGTTCCACTGTTTAGAAATATCTACAGAGTTTAGAATACTACAGAGTTTACCATTCAAACCAGACCTGAACTGGCACTTCAGCACTGAGCACAGATGTTCTCTAGCCCACCTTTCTGGTACCCAGAAGCCACAGCAAGGTTGACATATGAGGTGTTAAGACCCTCTGAGATACTACATCTCCCCCAAACTTACTTGTCTGAGATCACAGCAATGGAACAGGCAGGGCAGCAATCTGCATTGTCCAGCCTGGCCTTCCCTAAGAAAGGGGAGAAAATGGACTTCATTCAGAGTCAGACCAACTCCCAGTTAAAAAGACAAGGAACATAAGTAGAACTGCTCCTTACAACTTTAGCTTGATTCTCAATAGAAGAACCAGTTTCCTGATTTCTTATGTGAAAAGTGTTGTAATCATTCCTGCTAAGTCTAAAGCCAAAGGATATTGAAAAATCCTAGCTAATAATACTCCTTTGTGTGCAATTCTTTGTGTGTTTGAGGTTTTAAATTGCCTGGGGTGTATTTTAACTTTTTTTTTTTTCTTTTGGTTCTTTCAACTGAAGGACAACCCTTCCTGCTGTCTCAGTACCTCTTGATTGGCCTGGAAATCCAAATACACCCTTATCATAGGGGATCCTAGGGTATTCCATGGTTCTTAGTCATCAAAACACTGATTTTTGACTCTGAAGTTCAGCCTTATTAAAGGGTCAACCCCTGGTGTAGAAAAAGATAGGCTCTTGAGAAACAAAGTATCCACTTGACAGCTCTACCATTACTGCATGATCAAGTAGCTATTGTAACTGAGTTTGCCAATGGTCTAATGAGACTACAGCTGAGAGCATGATTTTTCTTAAAGATAGGGTAGAAGGAAAGCTACAAGAATTTGAGTTTTTTGGAAGGTTTGCAGTCTAGGACGTGAAAAACTGTTAATGGCTGCTCTTGTTAGTCTTGATGTTTTTGTGTGTTCTTTGCCAGGACTCTATCACTGTACACATAAGGAGCACCAGAGGACCCATTGATGTGTATTTATGTGAAGTGGAGCAAAACCATTCAAATGGCAAAACATCTGACAGGGTAGGGACCTCTTCATCTAAAAGCAAACATCCAGAACACCCTGAGAAAGGTAAGCATATCAATTTTGCAATTAAAGAAAGTAAAGATTTTATGTATATAATATGTATATTATGTATAGCCTGAGGATTATTTTTTATCTTCTATCCACAAAAACATGAGTTTAAAAATAATTGCAAGGTCATTGTTACTGTAGTTAAGAATATTCCTTCATAGTTAAGTTCCACACAGTTTTAATAGTAGTGGAAATAACATTGTAGTCAGTCCATGGGGGCACCAGCTGGCTGTGGCCTCTGAGTAGGGAGGACTTTCTGCATTCTCTGACAGTGCTTCTAGCTACAGGTATGAATTTTTGTTTACTCTTGAGGCTGAAAACATTAGCCTTCTGCTATTGATGTGAGAGATTGGTGCTTGTGTACAGTTCTTCTTTTCTAGCAGTGGAATTGCAGGCTCTGTTGGCCACCCGCTTTTTAAGAAAGATAGCACTTAGAATTTCTCTTATCTGTTCTTTTTCAGGAGAAAATCTTCAGCAAGGTGAAGACGTGCTTGAAGTGAACAACTGATAGCATTTGAGAATTAATGGGTTGAAATTTTTTTACCTTTTCTTTTTGGAACATCCTGTGTGGATGAATTATGCATCAATTTGAATCTCAGAGCAATAAGTCATCCAGGAAGTGCTCTCATTCTCAGTCAGTAGCAGCATTAAGGCCAGTAGTGTCTTCAAGTAGCTCCCTACTTAGATAACTGGGTAATTATGGTTTCTGCATTCAAAAACAACTTTTTTTATAATTGTTCACTGCATTTCGTCAGTGAAATAGACATCTTGCCTCCTGAAATAACTTCTTTACAAAGAGTATCACGAAAACAGACGGTCAGGCCTGGCACAGACAGTTCTTCGTGGACTCTGCCTTCCTTAAAGGATTATGTCGTATATCACAAAAATAATTGCCTTACACTGGTTCACGTTTGCAGTTGAGTGTTGTACATTGGCCAGGTGTACGCACGGATCTAAATGTGGTGTTTTTGTATATATCTGTATAATGTTTAGATTACTTATGAAATATGTCTAAATGACACTTTTTGCCCTTGTACAGCCAAAATAATGTATATATGAAAATTGACAGACAAATGCTCTAATTTCCTTGGAACCTATATAACTTATTAGAATCCTCTGGATGAGGGTTAGAGGAGAGTTTTTCCAAACTTCTACATGTAGAAGTCTCACAAATGTGCTATACATTTAAGTTCATAATACTAATTGAAGTAATTTAATGTGGATCCCCGTGCTAAAATTGGAGTCGGATGCTTCTTGATGTTGAGCTGCCTACAGAGTTATTGTGTCCCAGCAGATTGGTGGCATGCCCCAAATCCTTGGGGGTTAGTACAGAAATGCCATCAGGCCTAATTCACTGAGACATGAATTCAATCATGGTGAAATTGGAAACTGTTAAGCTTTTTGCAAGCAGATTTTGTAATATGTGTCTGTGTGCAGCCTTTCTCCTCAGTCAGAGGGGTTTTACTTACCATGAGTTGTACCCTCCCCTCTCTCCAGCTCTAGTCCCACCTTTCCAAGACCTAGCTATTTCTACCTCAGTGGGTAAGTCATTTACCACTCTGTGCCTCAGTTTACTCAGTAGTTTACCATTAGACTGTGACTCCTTGAGGGACTTTGTCATAATCATTATTATATCCCAGCACCTTGCACCATGCCTGGCCCATGGGAAGTGCTCAGTGAATGTCTGACAGATCAGTGAGTGCATGATTGCAGAATGAGGTGGATGAAACCTGGCTTGTCTGTCACACAGGATTCTGTGAGCATCTGAAGCCTCTCTTGCTTTCAAGGAAAAAAATTGAAGCAACTTGAAATTAAGACCGTGTATAAAAAGATTTACAATAGGGATCCAAAATCAAAATATTACAAAATAGTGGATTCACATACTCTGAGCTCAGCAGCTTTGCCAATCCTGACCTCTGCTGGACACCAGCTCCTCCCCCCACAGTCCATGCTTTTTAATTTCTATATGCTTGGGGACTGCTAGCCTTGAGGCATCTTCTCCCTCTGACTTAGACAAAAAGTTGTCTTCTGAAATCAGCCAAAGAAAAGCTACAGGGGGCACTGGTCACTGGACTAGTTGGTGATATGGTTTGACAAGATAGGGAACACAGGAGGAACAGCAAGGGTGGGATAAAAATTTCAAAAAAGTTGTGGACATGAAAGTGAGAATTCAGGCAGGAGGTTGTATATGTGTAGGTCAGGTGCTCTTGGAAAGATCTGAGCTCTGTGTAGTAGATTGGGCAGATATTAGTTGACACGTGATCTTGTAAATCATGAGAGTAGAAGAGGTCATCTAAGGAGAATGTAAAGAGGAGAGGCCCAGGAATAGCTGTGTTTAAGGGGAATACAGAAGAAAGAGCCTTTCCTGAGAAGAAATAACAGGGAAATAAAACTAAAGGAGATAGTGTCCCAAAACCAAGGAAGCATTGCCAAAGGTGAGCAGCAATTCCTGACTTGTGAAATGTGATGAATGTTCTGCCTTATACATTGTTCTGAGGGTAAAATGAAATCATGTCAGCAAAAGTCTTATGTAAATTGTAAATGTGTTACATAAATGAAGTAGCTCCGCCACTCCATCTTCAGGTGTTCAGTGTCTTCTTTTTAGAACTGACAAGTGTCTGAGGGCTAATTTCGTAGCCCTTTCTTCATCTACCACACCTTCCCTGCTGACTTTGATGGGTATGGCTAGTGACTTGAGCAGCCCTCCTCTTTTAAGAGCTCCGAAGGGGTCAGAAGTCCTGGCCTCAGGAGGTGCGCACACAGGCTCACTAGGGCTGGACATGAGGACCTAGAGCAGTGGCCAGCCTCTCAGCCCATCACTTTATCCTTGTTTTGAGGGACTTTCTTAATCACTGGCTTTATTTCCAGTGAAGCTAACTATACCCGGCCAGTCATCCGCATCATCTCTAACTGGTGTTTATGAAAAATTGAAGCTATAGAGAAGGTGACTTTCTGCACACAGGGATATGTAACAAAAGAGCATCCAGGGGAGAGGTGCACCCAGGTCTCCACGTGGAAGGACTTGGAGTGGACTAATACTCTTCCACCCCCTCAGCCACCTCTGCAGAAAAAAAAGCGGGTGGCTTCTCTAGTCATGAGTTTGGAAAAGGGAGCTGAACAATAAAGGCCCAGTTCCTTCCGGGTTTCCTCTCTTTGGAACTTCCTGCTATGGAAATACACATTTTACATCCGGGGGCGCCCTGCAGTTGCTTAGTTAGGTCAGTTTGCCCAGATGGGCATTGGGCAAAGTCTGCGGACATTTTTTACTCAATTGGAAGGTACATGCTACTGGCATCTAGGGACAGAAAATGGGGAGCCAGTAAAGAGTGCACAAGACAAACCCAGGTGAAGAATCACTCAGTGCAATGTCTAGAGTTCAAGTTGAGCAACCCATTACCCCCGTGTAGGCAGGAGAGCTGTCCCAGTCAGGAGTGAAGGGTTACGCCCAGTAGCCAACAGACCTAAAAGCACGTCCCCATTCACTTTTATTAGTAATGGGAGGTTCTAATTTCTGTCACAGGTGGTTCTGCCTGCCAGCTGATTCTGAGCATGAAAGGTAGGAGGAGTGTTACCTATTGGGAAAAGCCATTATAGACCTCATATTGGGGCCCCATGTTGGCAAGGATGGAATTCACCTGTAAGTAACAAAACCCTCCAATGACTGCTTCAAACAAGCTTTCTGACATTTAGGAAGTTCAGAGGTAGTCCAAGCTAGGTATTCCTCCCCAAGGAGTTGGGAGCAAGGCTTTTACCAGGTAAATGGTCATGCTTGGCTCCTGTTCCAGAGGTCACCTTGAATTCCAAGGGAGCCTCTGGAGCCCAGCCATTCTGTCTACATAGTAGCCAGCAAAAAGGATGAAGAAAGAAGAATGGGATACATCTTAGTTAAGGACACTCCTACAAATTGCAACTCACTTAAACCTGACAAATTGACCACCATAGCCACTGTTACTTGGGAATGTGATCTTTTGGGGTCAGGATCAGCCATGTGCTGTGCAAAAGACCAGTAGTTGTGACTCCAAAGACAGAAGATGTGTGTGGAGTGCAGGACAAGCGCTTATCAAGACCCAGCTCCTCTCCCCTTCTGAGCACCAGAAGGCTGAACCTGATCATGAGGCCAGCTTTAATCAGCTGGCTCTGGGGAAGTGGCAGCAGTTACAAGACTGCAGTCTGCCACCACTCCTCCTGTACAGCAACCAAGAAAGCCACAGTTCCCGGTGCAGTCACAAGGCTCTGGAGTGTTGGCTTGGATCCCTGAGAGACCGCCAGTCTTGACCAATCTTGACACCATGGAGTGTCAAGTCGTTAAGATTTATGGTATTGATTTTTTATTGCATTGTGGCCTAGCCTATCTTACTATGTTCATGGACAACTGACAGTTTCTGCCACAGGCCTCACAAAGCTGAGTTTTATTTATTTTTTTTTTTTGAGGAGAGAGAGAGAGAATTTTAATATTTATTTTTTAGTTATCGGCGGATACAACATCTTTGTTTTGTATGTGGTGCTGAGGATCGAACCCGGGCCGCACGCATGCCAGGCAAGCACGCTACCGCTTGAGCCACATCCCCAGCCCCCAAAGCTGAGTTTTAAATACCTTCTAGATACTTGGAACTTGTTAGTTGTTTATGGTCAACAAAGTTGAAATACTGGTCATTCCATAAAAAGTGACTCAATCCATTTGTTCTCCACCAGGATGGAAGTTAACAGGTTTGTGTAAGGATTGCCATCTAGTGGAGAATTAACACTTAAATTATTTGCTTTTAAATAAGCAGATACTGCTAGAGAATAGCATTAATTTTAAACACATTTTCAAATCCCATTCTTGTTGATAAAGTGAATTCACAGTAAATTTTACATATTAAAACCTAAATGAAGCAACTTGGCAAGAAGTGTTACTGTTCAGAAATCAGCACGTTATCCTGGCTACATACAGTTTTCCATTCTTGCCAGAATCTAGTAAGCAGAAATCTTGATTGTCTCAACACCCTCCAGAACATCACATTGGTCCACAGCACTGGATCGGTTGAGCAGGAAGTCCTCAAATACCTTAAATATCTTGTTAAATATCTTAGTAAGATGTGTGGGCCACAAGGTGGTAGATAAGCCTGCTCCTGATACCCACTGGTCCCATAGGAAAACCATGGTAGGTGTAACACAGAGACAAGTTAGTACAAGAAATGGATTACTCAGGTGTTAACATTCACAAATTCAGGATGCAGCCACCACCCCTAGGAAAATGCAGGGACACCATAACCTAGGAACTCAGAACACCGGTTCTCTATATGGTTGTCACTTAGACCCCAGAAGGAGAGAGATGCCACGTAAGTGCTTAGACTTGTGCTAGGGAAGAAGACCCCCACCAAATGGTTGATGCTCAAATCTCTGATGGGAGTCTGACACAATTAGTGTGCCAGTCACCAAAAGGATCATAGCCACCTAGTACTGGTACTTCAAAGGACACCGTGTGATTGGTATTGGGGTTGCCAAAAGAATCTGGAGCCATCACTATCAACGGTTGCTATAGGGTTACTGAGAGGAAGAGCCCCTTGCGTCCTGCCCTTCATTACCAGCCTGCATCATATTCCGCCAGCTAGCAGGGAATGTATTTTGCAGAACTCAGCCTGGGATCACAGCGGAAAGCAAGAGGGTGAGCTAGGATCTGAGAGCTTATTCTTCCTACCCGTAGTACGCTCATGCATACCCAGCATCTCCTCCTACCCAGAAGGCCCAAGGTATAGTAATCCCAGCTCCATCTCTGGCTTACTATGGCATTAGACACATCTTATGAATAGAAATTATTAATTTGTAGTCGCAAAATTTCTTTGAAGTTCTCATATTCTAAGATCCCAGGTTGATATCCGATATCTTAAGCCCAAATTAACAACTGGAATATGAATTGTTTCTAAGAGATGTGTGTCCCAGTGGTATATTCTGTCACATGATCTAGAACTGTATAAATACACACCAGCCTCACTGGGAGCACTGCCTTCTTCCTCATCTGCCTAATCTCATTCTCCTTTATTGTAACTAAGAATTTGCTGTAGCGATTTTTGGCTCCTTCATCCCCAAGATCACTGTACTCTGTACGTTTCTTGTGGACACTCAGGCTGAGGGGAAAGCACTTTCTTCTCTGCTCATAGCCTTGAAACTAAAATGAGAGGAATTAAAATAGCCTCCAAGTTGGGCTGGGGCTGTGGCTCAGTCCTTGCCCAGCATGCGCAAGGCCCCAGGTTTAATCCCCAGCAAAGCAACCTTCGGAAACCTGACTGTGGCATCTTAAAGTGGCAGCATCAACACTTTACACTGTCCCAAAAGTTCTGTGCCAAGAACACAAGCCCACTGGTCTTAAAGCCGAACATGTCTGGACACAAAACCAGGATGCCCATGATGAAGCAGCTAAAGGCTGGGAAATGCTCCCAAGCGTTTCTGTGACTTTTTTCATGACTTTTCAGTCATGAAACAACATCTATGATACTGTGTAGGTGGAAGGAAAAGAAAACCAACCACCCCACATCCGATTAGTAACTGGCTCACTTCATACTTGTCTTCTAGAATTCTAGGTGTCCCCAAAGGCATTTGGAACATGAGATGACTAAATGGAGACCTAGAGAACACAGCAAAACTGACGGGACCTTGTGGGAGGGGATGCTCTTCAAGTACAGTCCAAGGGTGCCAAAGGGACTCAGATGCCAGGAGTGCTTCTCGAACTTGACTGTGACCTACAGACATTCTAGAAGGTTTCCAGTGCACACACAAATCTGTCTTGAACCCCGGCCTGGCTGCCCTGTAGAGCACTCTTCTATTTATTACATTTCCATGAGGCCCTGGGTTCAGTCCCTGCACTGCAAAAAAGACAAACAAAACAGAACAACCACCTCTTTGTGATTCAGCTCATCTGTGCTATTGCGTTACCAGCAACAGGAAATGGACTAAGACAACAAGGTCGCTATGAACTTTCATTATGGCATCCTCCCAAAGGGCTCCTACATTGTAACTAATATTTGCTAATTATTTTTAATTATTTAAAATATTTAATCAGAAACGTTTTGGTATCCAAGAGTAATTATAGAGATTTTAATCAGAAATTAAGCTACCAAAATAGCAAAGCTGATTTGTTTAAGCACAGTTATCAAAACATTTTAGTAACTAACATGGACAGGTATGGAATGCACTCAGATAAGACTCAACCCTTAGCTCGCCTTTGACTACATCAGGATCGGTTGATAACACTGAGTGGGAGTTTTGAGTACTCAGATCTTGACACCACATGGCCACCAAACTGACACGATTTTTTAAAAAATCTCTAATTTTCCCTAAAAAAAAAAAGGAAATTTTATGATCACTATGTACTGGATGGAAAGAGTATAAATTAAGGCCTTGAGAAATAAAACTTTGCCTATTTTCCTGAGTGAAACAAACATGGTTAATCATCTCTCTTATCTGTAGTGAGAGCTTACTGATCTTTCCCCCAGGATTGTGTCACAGTCCACATAAAGAACACAAAAGGTCAAGTAGTGTTTCTATGAGAAGAGACAGAAAAAGTACACAGAGCTTAAAGACCCTGTGTCTTTTTAAT